GGTCGCGGGTCGCGGCCTGGGCTGCACTGCACCATCTTACGTTTTGGCCTCGTTTGAGCTCGTCCGAACTCGAAATTGAGTTCCGTTTTTTCCTACGCGTAGCTAACGAACCCATCTATTTAATTATTCTCTCGAAACCAATTTTTCCTGAAGAGAAAATTCGCTCAAAGCTCCCGACCTACACACAACAAAACACAAAGGAAAACTGGAAAAATAAACGAAAAACACCTAAGGACTCAAAATGAATGAAAACACATAATAGAACACGAAACGGACTAAAAACTAAAGAAACTACCTAAAATGGGAGAAAAAGAAAAGCAAAACGAGCACAAAAAAATGCAACAAAAATAGGACAAACATAGCTCATTATTCCTCAAAAATCATGTCAATGACATTGGTAAAAGATAGACATGCTTAGAGTTAATTTATTCGGCCAACATGTTAATGAAATCGAGCCTAATTTCACCCCCCGAGCCTAAGTTATATGCATGCGAGTTATGGCCATTGACTCAGCCCTTAAAGTCATGATTTTTGATGCATAGTATTCGGCCTTAGATGATTATATAAGTTGAGCATGTTTATTCGGTGACTTAGTGTGGCCACGAGCCTTGTCGGCCCTATAAGACCATCTCTTAGTCCAACTGAGTCTCCTAGCATTTCTTGGCATTTTATTTGTCTTTGATCATAATATGTTGGATTGAGTTGATTGTCACCGGAAAAATAGCCGGAAGTCTAGCAAAGACCGGTCAGGGTCAGCAGCCGCGCATGCAGCGCGCGTCGTGCCCGGGCCGCGTCTAATAAGGTTAAGTTATGCCTCTGTTACTGCCCGTGCCCGTGGTCAGCAGACACGAAGCACCACAGTCCCCAGTGCACGCGACAACTCCCAGCAGCGGTTGTCCGTGTCCGCGTATGTAGTTTCGTTGCCAGTCGCGCCCGGCTACCCAGACAGCACCCGACAGCGTTGTCCCAGTGCCAGTGCACGCGTGGTCTCGAGCCAGTCGCTCGTGCCACGTGGAGTAGGCCTCGGGTTGTGCCAGCAGCATTTCCGAGCAGTCAGTGTCGTGCCTAGAGTTAACCCGAGTAGTGTTAGCTGTGCCCAGTAGACCTCGGGTCGTGCCCAGCAGCACGCCCGAGTGCCCAGTCAGCCTCAGGGCCACCCGACAGCGCCCGAGTAGTGTCAGCCGCGCCAGAGTCTCCGTGAGTAGGGTCTATCCGCACCCAGCCGTGCCAGACCCGAGTTCAGTCGTGCCCAGAAGCACGCCAGTGCCTTAGTTAGCCTCGGCCCATGCCCAGAAGCATGCCCGAGTGTTCAACGACCTCAGAGTCACCTGACAGTGCCCTAATGGCACTAGCCGCACCCAGTCAGTCCGGGTACGCGCCAGTCCCCGCGTCCCTCATGTTCGGTCGTGCCCAGCAGCGCACCAACACATCTAGTTAGCCTCGGTCCAACCCGGTCCAGTCCAGCTCGACCCGATTCAGTTAGTCAGCAAACCGGCCAGTTCAGCCTGCGGTTCGAGTCAATTTTGGTTCGAGTTTTTCGGTCCGAGTCTAAATCCGAAATCTAAGTATTTTTCCAAGCCAAACCAGTTGAGATAAGCATATCAGCTTGAGTTCCGGACTTAGCATTATTTTTAGCGAACCCCTAGAGCATTCCTAATTATCCGGATAAGTTATTTGATAGGGTTGAGCATCCTAGCATCATTTTAAGCATATTACGAGCATAACACTTAGTATATTTGTTTATATTTTTATTGTAGCTTGAGGAGTCAACTACCAGCACAACACTTATGATTTTCAAAGCAGACATGTGTGGACCCAGTCTGGGTATTACATTGAGTTTAATGCCTAATATCATGTCCAGGTATGTATATGAGCCGCCTAGGGTGGAGGCCGAGTTTGCCCCATCCGAGGTATGTATATCAGTTTAGTCCGGTTAGGGTTAAGGCCGAGTTGCTCCTCCCCTAAGTTCTGGTGGTGGCCCAGTTCGCCTTAATTATACCATCAGAGTGTGCACACGATTACCGACCATAGTGTTCCGGGAGTTACAGTTCAATTACTGGCCAGAGTGTCCGGGAGGTTTCAGTACTTATATATACCTATTCTGTGATACTGATATTATTATTGTTGTTTACTTTAGTCTAGGTTATTTTGGGGTGCAAAGGGATCAACACTCACCCCCACTATGTTTTTTAGGTGACAGGGTCGGCAGAGAGGTTTGAGCTCAGCCGTGGGTGTTGTTCGGAGATTTGGCCCAGTTGCCATTTAGGGACCTGTTTATTATGATTTCAGTCTGTATAATTATGCCGCGTACTTTCAGACTTCCGCTACGTTTTCCGTTTTCGAACTTGCATGTTATTTTCAGATTTTCAATTTTACCCGGTTCGCCAGTACGAACAGTCCAGTTACATGCACCGTTTGATAAAAGATTTTAATCCTGTTTCTTTACGTCTAAACTAGTTGTTAGACCAAGCTTTAAAGAAAACGGATTTTTAAACAGATACATTTTTAGCAACGTCCCAACTTAAGCGCAAAGGATTTTGAAAGTTTATAAGCAATTTCGAAAGAAAAGTTCGCAAAAAATTGGCCCATATTTTAGTAAAGTATCGGGGCGGTGCAATCGGAGGAAGGGAGACCTCGAGAAATTGGGGCAGGGGTTTTTATATAGTGTTAATACCACTTAATAGCCATATAAATTTACAAAAGATAAGTTTTAGCCATGTTTTGATAAAAACATCTTTTTTAGCCATTTTGACATGTGAAAATACAAAATTACCCCAATCCAATTTAATATCACAATTCACTTTCACTTCCCCCAAATTCATCTATTCACCTCACAATTCATTTTCACTTTCACAATTAATCGTGCCTCCAAAAGAAAAAGAAAAAAATTCCTTTCAGCAGAAAATTGAAAAAAAAAAAAAACTTTCCTCATCGGCTCGAAAAATTCCATTGAGCAGAAAAATCTCTTTCACTTTCGCACGACCTCGCCGGCTCAACCTCTGCACGACCTCCGATCTCCGCAGACGACTTTGTCGGCTCCGCACGACCTCCGACATCATCCTGTGGCCACCTCGCCGGCTCTGCACGACCTCGCCGGCTCTGCTCGACCTCGCCGTTCCTCTGCAGCTTCTCACCGGTGAAAAATTGACCGTGCCTCTATTTGCTCATCTCTTATCCGGCCTCTGAAATCAGGTAATTAGGGTTCTTGTCCTTTAATATTTTTGTTCGAATTAGGGTTCTTGACCTTAAATTTTTTATTCGAGTTAGGGTTTTTTTGTTCGGATCTGGCCTCTGGTGCTTGGTTTGAATTAGGGTTCATGAGGATTACTCTTTTTTGCATTTGTTTCTTGTTGATGCGGGTGATGTTTTCAGGAAAAAGCGTCTTTACGGGTGGAAGCTCGTCATTGTCGGCGTCCGGTAAAAGAATTGTAGCTTCTTCAAGTGTAAAGAGGTTCATGTTTTTGCCCTTTTCCTTTTTTTTTTTTTCTTTCCTCTTTTCGAGCTTTGGGCTCTGGATGTGTTGTTTGGATGTTGTTGGGTTTGGTTTATTTTATTTTTTTATTTGTCATTTTTGCTGGGGTTTGTTGTTGGTGTTTGAGTTTCAGCTTTGGGCTCTGGATGTTGTTGGGTTTGGTTTTTTTTTTTTTTTATTTGTCATTTTTGCTGAGGTTTGTTGTTGGTGCTTGAGTTTCTGCAGTTGTTTGGCTGTTACTAAATGTGATGTTTTTGGGAATTTTTGTTTTTAGTTAGTTCGTAGAGGTATCTAGTGTTTGAGCATAACAATGTCATTTCTACGCATATTTAGCATCTTTTTTTTTATGGTTTGTAGTCTAAGTTCTAGTGTTGGATATATTATTTTGTTATTGGCTTTTACATCACCAAATATATATTACTTCTTGAATGGCATTTTACGTAGTGTTGAAGTTGGACATTTACCCTTCATATAACTTGATGACCATTAACTATATAGCTTACAGTTATGTAATTCATCCAGGTTAAGAACTGAAGTTCTGAGCAAGTATTGCCTATCTAGATCTTTGAGTTTTGAATATGATTGATTACAAAAAAGATCCGTGAAGTGTCGTTCCAACAACAAAGTATATTTTTCATAATTACAAATCCCCCTTTACATGCATTTTTCATAAATTGTGTCCCTCCATTGGTTTTCTTCTAATGATATCATGGTTATGTCGATAAATATTGGGAATTTTATTATTTTTTTTTTGGTTTGTTCAAACCTCACCAATTTATACTTACATTTTAAAACCAAGATTTGTTTCTTTCATTTATTTGTAGAAAACCCGTCAAATCCATAGCATCATTCTTGAAAAGATGTCTGCCCCGTGTAACTAATGATTAATCCCCGTATTTCTGTAATGCCATATCTAAGTAGATTTTTTCTTTGTAAATGCCATATCTAATTGTAACTGACAGCAGATTTTATAATTGGAGTAGGACAATTAAACTGCTCTTGATAATTTTTCTCGGATTAGAAGTTTTAATAATTATGTTCGTTTTGATATTAATGTACTTATTCTGATTCGCTTTTGTTATTAGCTCTTTCTTGCATTTCATTTGAACATGACAATTTTCCCACTTTTCTACAACATGAATAATACCCAATTTGGACTTCACAACAACTTTTAGTTATTGTGTTTTATAGTAATTGTATTTCTACTCTTGTTAATTTTTCTTGGATTAGGAGTTTGAATAATTATGTTGATTTTCATATTAATTTGCATGTTCGGATTAATTTCTCAAGCTCTTGCACATGTACAGGTTATTAAAGCTCTTGCACATGTACATGTACTTATTACATTTATAACATTGATAACATGTTGGTTTGTAACTTCGGATGACAGGTTATTTTGGTATTTAATGTTGACGAGCATTGGGTGGTGTGCCGGGTATGGTTAGTGGACTAGGAGATTGAGCTTTACGACTTCTTTAGCCACCTTTCATCATCGAAGGCGTGTAATGACCGAGAGCTTATGTTGACCCCTCTCCGACGACTACTTCCCACACTACTTCACCGGTCCGGTTACTTTGAAACTATGAATATTCCACCCAAGTTAGATGTCTTATCAATTAAGAGAATGCCGAGTGAAGTTCAGTTTGGATACCCATAATTGTGGTGTATTTGCTTGCATGTACGTTGAACGCATGCTTGGCGAGGACATTCCCAGCGAGACATAAGTTTATATAGACAGAAAATGGCATTAGCAATTTATGCTCATAGTATTCCCGTGTCGAAGTAGTGTCATTTTTTTGGTGCTTTGGTTGTGTATTGCTATTGCCAATTGTAGTGTATTTGATATTTTGACAATTGTGGTCTTTTTGTGGTCTCATAGTACTTTTGTTGACGAGCATTGGGTTTGTGTTGTTAAACAATATAGCTCTGTTCTTCTCTGCGATTCGCGAACAAATCCCGCTAGTCGCGACCCTGAGAAGCTTGTAGCATGTATTCTGTTCTTCACTGTGATTCGTGAGTTCCTGTTCGCAGAATATTTTCACTATCCGCAAGTGTACGGTATAGCTGTAGTGACTGGCGAGCAAGGTCGTATTCCACAGAGATTGTTGTCAAAATAAGTAAGTATCAAAATGTAAACGGTTAAATATTATTCAGTCTAATGCAAATTTGAATGGTGATTTTATTCTAAACTAATGAATGATTGCAAAATAAATTCTAACACTAATGAAGGCTTGTTCTAAGATAAATCAAGAATGAGAAAAATAGATTCTAGACTATGCTTTCCTCGGGATTATTCTAACAAAGATTTCCTATTCATTCAAACCTTATTTAATTCTATCATGCAATGCTGAACTTTGTATTAGCTTCAAATAACAAAAAAAAGTACAGGTATCTCCACCAACAATGTCATAAACTCTATTTAAAAAGTTTTCATACGAAGCGGTACGTTCAAATAACTTTCGAATATTTTGGCGTAAGTGGTACGTGCAAATAACATGAGTTGCTTCGGGGTAATCAACCTCCAAAGCCGACTTGATGCTTGGGTGTTGATCAGAAACAATGACCAAGTTTTCGGGACATCCGAATACATTACGAAGCGCATGTAGAAACCACGCCCCAGCATTGTGCTCTTCCATGTCACCTATACCAAAAGCCAATGGAAATATCTGCTCATTTTCATCTTTTGTTGTTGCTACGAACAGAATGCCTTTATATTGACCCTTCAAATGAGTACCATCAACCACAATCACAGGGCGACAATAATTAATGAATCCGTTGGAGGCATGTAAGGCAAAGAATGCGTACTTGAACATGTCATCGTCATTTGTCTCATAGCATGTGGTGGTTCCAGGATTTTCTCTCATCAACATATGAAAATATTCAGGCAAAAGTTCCCAATATTTATTATGATCTCCATAAACGAAGTCATACACGACATTATGAGACTTTAGTGCTTTATTGTATTTGAGCGTAATACCATGATCACGCTCTAGAAATGATTCCCAATAATTAGTAATTAAGCAATCAATGTTTAATAAAACAAATAAAATTTGAAATAGAAATGATTTTTGGAATCACATAAATGGTTTATACGATTCGAAAACAGATTTCTGGGACCAGAAATGACGTTTCTGGGACATGAATGACGTTTCTGGGACCAGAAATCGATTTCTGGACCCAGAAATCGATTTCTGGATCTTCTGATTTCTGGTCCTAGAAATCGATTTCTGGAGCGAGAAAAATATTTCTGGGGTACATCATTGGCTAGAAATCGATTTCTGGATCTTCTGATTTCTGGTCCCAGAAATCGATTTCTGGGCCCATAAAAATATTTTTAGAGTACATCATTGGCTATAAATCAATTTCTTTCTGAGACCAAAAATACCAGAAACCAATTTCTGGATCTTCTCGTTTCTTGGACCATAAATCGGTTTTCTGGGTCCAGAAATCGATTTCTTGGCCCAGAAAGCAAAGAAATCGATTTCTTGGTCATTTCTGGAGACAGAAATCGATTTCTGGATCTTCATGTTTCTGGGACCATAAATCGGTTTTTTGGGTCCAGAAATCGATTTCTGGATCTTCATGTTTCTGGGACCATAAATCGGTTTTTTGGGTCCAGAAATCGATTTCTTGGTCCAGAAAGCAAAGAAATCGATTTCATGGTCATTTCTGGAAACAGAAATCGCCAGAAATCGATTTCTGTGACCAGAAATCTATTTCTGGAACCNTCGTGATTTTCACACGAGTCGTGTGACCTTGTCACACGAGTCGTGTGAGCTCACACAAGTCGTGTGACGAGCCACACGAGTCGTGTGAGTCTGGGAATAATTTTAATTTCCATTCGTATTTTTCACACGAGTTGTGTGATAAGATCACACGGGTCGTGTGACCCTCACACGAGTCGTGTGACTCATAAATTGATATTTTATGTTCATTTCATTAGATGAATGTTTTAGGGATGATCATGAGCCTCATATTCATTATGTTTGAATGGATGTTTTCATTTTCAATATGATTGAATGAATGAATGGATGTTTAATTATGTTTTCAATATGATTGAAGAAATGTAATTTATCGAGACCTGCGTGTCTCTTGAGATGAAATTTGTAAAATTTTAAATTTTGTATCGATAGAGATTAGATCAAGGTGGAGACCGTTCGATGACAAAGGCCCACGCATGTGTGGGTAATTTTACAAGTTGTAATCTCGAAGGCCTGTGCTTGTACGGGTAGATAGAAAAAATGTAATAGAAGTAGTTCTATTATTTGTTTTATCACGTACATAGGCATAGATCCATTTTGGCTCGAATGGATCGAATAGGCAAGGAC